CTAAAAACATTAGCTTTTTTTTCCACTGCCTCTGTACACAGAGTAGATGATTTCAGAGAGCTATTCATAATGACCCAAGAACTCATTCTCAAGTGATAATTTAGACCAGTGGTCTCCAACCTTTTTAACCACAAGATCGCTTTCTCAATTTAAGTGCAATATAAGATCTACCTCAAACCCAGATAACTGGGCCTGGCTTCCTTCCTGCCTCTTCTCTGAGGCCCCGCCCCTGCTCCACACCTTCTCTGAGGCCTCACCCTGTTCACTTCATCCCTCTTCTTCCCCATCATCACTCACTTTCACCAGGCTGGGTAGAGGGTTGAGGAGCAGGTTCTGGTCTTGGGCCAAGGAGTTTGGAGTGTGGGAGGGGCTCCGGGCATAGCCCAGGGTAGAGGATTGGGGTCCAGGAGGGGTTTCAGGGTGCAAGCTCTGGGAAGGAATTTGAGTTCAGGGGGACTAACTTCTGGGGCAGGAGGTTGGGTGCAGTAGGAGACTCAAGGCTGGGACAGAAGTTCAGGAGACAGACTCTGGTTGGGCACTGTTTAACTGAGACGGCTTCTGGCTGGTAAAGCTGCGGGGTTAAGGCAGCTTACTCCTGCCCTGGCCCTGCACTACTCCTGAAATCAGCTGGCATGTACAGCAATGGCTGCATGGTGCCATGCGCTGCCCCTCATTTACAGGCACTGAGCCCACAGCTTCTGCTGGCCACAGTTCCCTGCTATTGATCAATGGGAGCTGCAGGAGTGGTGTCTGCAGGCAAGGACGGCTTGTGGAGCCCCCCTGCTCTGCCTCTCTCAGGGGCTGCAGGGACATGCCAGCCACTGCCAGGAACAGTAATTCCCATAAGGATAATTACTCCAGCCATGACAGGTGTGGCATTTTAGAGCTCACTACTCAAAGAATTAAATTTAAGCATAAGAGAGAAATGAAAGTTATGAAATGCACCGACCAGTCAAAACCACAAATAACCCTCTTTGCAAGCAGTAAAAGTAGTAACAACTCCCCACATATGTGTTGGGTTGGGAGATGAGAGTGAAGGACAGTGTGTGTTTGTGAGAATGACAGACACACACACAGTGTGAGAGAGAGAGAGATTTGCATTGCCAAGCTCCCTCCATCCCCTTCTCCCTGTGTGGAGATGGGGTACAGAGGTGGGGAGTGGAAGGACACCCTGACATAAGCACCCACTTCTTCTCCCTCTCACACTCTGCACAGCAAGCAGGAGGCTCCCAGGGGAGCAGCTCCAAGGCAGAGGGCAGGAGCAGCATGACAGTGGGTGGTGGGGTAACTGAAGTGCCAGCGCTTGATAGCTTCCTGCCCAAACCAGTCAGAATCACCTGTCAGAGGCTCCAAGATCTACTGGTAGATCCCGATCTACTGGTTGGTGACCACTGATTTAGACAGCATAATTTTTTATATATATATATTGGGATTATGTTTCGCAATGTGTGTTACTTTGCATTTATCAGCATTGAATTTCATCTGTCATTTTGTTGAGCAGTAACCCAGTTTTGTGACATTCCTTTGTAACTTTGCAGTCTGCTTTGGACTATACTATCTTAAGTTATTTTGTATCATCTCTAAATTTGGCCACCTCTCTGTTTACCTCTTTTTCTAGATCATTTATGAATATGTTGAACAGCACTTGTGCCCAGACAGGTCAGTGGGTGACACCATTGTTTACCTTTCTCCATTCTGAAAACTGACCATTTATTCCTACTCATTGTTTCCTGTCCTTTAGTCAGTTACAGATAGGGATGCCACACCTCCCAGATCAGCTGGGAGTCTCACAGAGTTGGCATCTATTTCCCACTGGTTACTGAATGCCATTCAGGAGATTTTAGGCAGGGCTGGCAGGTTCCCTACCTGCCCTGGCTCCACGTGGCTCCCAGAAGCAGCCAGCATATCCGTCTGGGTTCTAGGCACAGAGGCAGTAAGTGGGTCTCTGCACACTGTCCCCACCCTAAGAGCCGACATAGCTCATACTGGCTGGGAAGCGCAGCAAATGGACCTGCAGGGGCGGTGCCGACAGGCGAAGGCAATGCCCCTAAGTCTGAGAGCCATACACACCAGCCACTTCTGGGAGCCACCCAAGATAAGCACCACATGGCCTAAGCTTGCACTCCAAACCCTATCCCCAGTGTTGCACCTCTTCCTACAACCAAAACTCCCTCCCAGTTCTCTGCCTTCAGTCCTCTTTCTTAGCCCTGAGCCCCTCCTTCACTCCAAACTGCTCCTCCCCATTCTCACCCCAAAACCTGCACCCAGAGCCCTCACCCCTCCTGTACTCACAGCTGTAAGCCCCTCCTGCACTCAAGCTCCCTACCAGAATCCATGCCACAAAACCGCCTCACAATTCCTGCCCCAGCCATGAGTCCCACTCCCAAACTCTGAACCCATCAGTCCCACCCTCAGCTCAGAGCCTGCACCCCAACTCCCTGCCCCTGCCTGGTGAGAGTGAGTGAGTGAGGGGGAGAGCGAGTGATGGAGGGAAAGGGGAGGGAGTGAAGAAAGGCAAAGTAGGGGCATTGCCTTGAGGAAGGAATCCAATAGGACCACGAATGTTACTAGACCAGAGAACCACTGGACAAGAAAGCCCCAGCAGTAGAGGCTGCCAACAGCCGAGAGCGGCGCCTGCTGCCAGGGCCAGAAGGGCAGCAGAGCTGGTGGGACAGTGGAGCTGGTGGGGTAGCAAAGCCAACATGTCTGGGACCCACCCAAGAGACTGGAGGCCTGACATCCCTTGGTCTGGCAAACTTCCTTGTCCAGGACCAGTCAGGTACTGAGGATGCTGGACCAGGGAGGTCCAACTTGTACCAGCCTATAAATTCCAGGAGTCTTTTTAAAATATTGTCGTGACATTAGCTATCTCCAGTAGGGATGTTAAATATCGGTTAATTGAATAGTCAAGTAACCTCATGAATTTTTATCAGTTAATCGACTATTCTCTAGTCCCTGAGGGTCAGGTCAGCAGCCTCACTCCCAAGAAGACTCTTGAGGGTGAGGTCAGCAGCCTCACTCCCAAGAAGACTCTGCGCTGCTTCCAGTGTATCAGAGACAGCAGCATGGGGTGCCTGGTGGGAGCTGGTCGGTGAGGGAAGCCAACTAGCTTTAAAAACTAGCTTCCCTTGTGGACCGGCTGCCTGTTGCCATGTGCTACTGCCTCTGAAGAAGAGGCAGTGGCATGGAGTGGCAGCAGTCCCTTTCTATGGGGTGGTCTGAGCTCCTGGACCCAGTGTGAACCAGAATTGAGCTGGACTGCCTGCCTGCCAGCTCCTAATACCCTTTAAATGCAGAGATGCAGTGGAGGTAGGTCCCGGACCCATCGCAAGCTAGGGCTGAGCCGGGCTGCTGGCCAGCCTGCTAAATAATTTACTGGCAAGTGTGGGGATGCATGTAGTCTACAGCATTAACCTATAAGCTTTTGTTTATCGGTTAATTGGCTACACTTTTACATCCCTAATCTCTAGCTGTCTATTACAGAAGCTGACTGATGTGACAGGTTACATTCTACAGTTCAAGAAAGATGAGTTTAAACTGGAACAAGTGCAGAGAAGAGCTATTAGGAAGATCAGGAGAATGGAGGGCCTATCTTATCAGAAAACACTGGAAGCCTGAGGGGGAATTCTGAATGCCCTCGGAAGATACATTGGGGAGATAAATATCAGGAAAAACGAAGAGCCATTTAAGCTAACAGACAATGCTGAATCAAGAATAGATATCAATTGGTCGTGAACAAATTCAAGTTGGAAATTACCAGTATGTTTCTAACCATGAGATGGGTAAGATTCTGGACAGTCTCCTAATAGGAGTTGTCAGGGTCAACAGCTTAATTAGTATTCAGAGAAAGCTGGATAAATTCATGAATGTGTTTATAACCCTCTCCCACTCCAATACTCCAATGTATTCTGGGTTGTTTTTTTTTTAACTCTTCTTCTGAAGCAAAAGGCTAGAGATGGGCCATTGCAAAGGGTGGGTCAGGGACCTGAGGAGGCACCAACATTCTCTCTCTCAGGCATTTGGCTGATTGGTTCTTGCTCATGTGCTTAGGGTCTAACTCCTTGTTTCTTAAACTGTGTTCCGCGGAACACTGGCGTTCTACAGACAACTCACAGGTGTGCCGCAGTCATTTGAGGTCTTCTCCTTGTTCTGAAACACGTCATTGTGGGTATGTCTACACTACCACCCTAGTTCGAACTAGGGTGGAAGTGTAGACATACCCACAATGACGTGTTTCAGAACAAGGAGAAGACCTCAAATGACTGCGGCACACCTGTGAGTTGTCTGTAGAACGCCAGTGTTCCGCGGAACACTGGCGTTCTACAGACAACTCACAGGTGTGCCGCAGTCATTTGAGGTCTTCTCCTTGTTCTGAAACACGTCATTGTGGGTATGTCTACACTACCACCCTAGTTCGAACTAGGGTGGTAGTGTAGACATACCCTGTGTGTCACTGGCCAAGATTATCTGAGTGTCTCTCAAGTAATCATTTCCCTACTATGCACTAATGCAAACTAGGCCCTCTAGTTCTCTGCTTGTGGCACATAATAATCCAGTCCTCTAAAGATCTCATTTAGTTTGGCCTCGTTTCCATTTTTGGGTTAAGTGTGTGGGTGCTGAGAGGAGTTGCTTGCCTGTGACATACAGAAGGACAGAGTACATGATCTAGTAGCCTCTTCTGGTCTTAAGACAAAGACTAGAGGATGTGGAGGTAAGGAAAAGAAGTCTGAATAGAATCTGCTGCACAGAAGATGATGTCTGCCTCTATACTGTTCAAAGAGACAGAAATACCCAGGTAGTATTATTTGTGTCCAGAACAGTCTATCCTTGGCCAGAGTGCTTAAAGTGTAATAAATATTTATGTTCCTCATTTAAAATTAAAGAACAAGCTTATAAAAAGCTTTCTTGATGACATCTTTCTTATCTTCACCACACAGCACTGCAGATGAATTTTATGATGTGTGCGTGCATATAGTTTCACCCACTCAACAAACCTATAATAATTGAGAAGAGTACACTAACTCATAATAAAAGTATGTACGGGCCCTAAATAAAATGAAATGTGTCATCATTAAACAATGATCATAACATCTTTTTACAGTGTACTTATAATAGTCAAGAGAGAGTAACAAACCTTATCAGTCACTGAGCTAAAGAAAATTTGAATTACATATGTTTCCATTAAGAAAATGTAAAGAAAATTTGAATTACATATGTTTCCATGTCTGGAGGTTTGAAGAAAAACAATTATTAGGCCTATAACCTCCCTACCTATCATTTTAGAAACACAAAAGCTCCCATTTTTTTGAATATGCAATAGGGATGTTAATGATTAACCAGTTAACTGGTAGGTTATGGAGTGGCTCTCCATGTCTCCCTCCCCCCCACCTGTTTATGTTAAGGTTAACCTAACATTTAACCAGTTAACCACAGCATTTTACATTCCTAGACTAGGCCATATGGATAAAGTTTTCAAGATGCACAAGTGTTCACAGGATCAAGCTCTATGTTTGCAACATCATGAAAAGATAGATCTGCATTTAAGTAGATTTTGAAGTGAGGACCTTACCTTAAGTGACTGAGCAGTGTCAGCATCAGTATCATGGTAAAGTATAACATTATTGGCCATATCAAAGCTTTCACGCACTCCAAGGTGGTAGAAGAGTGATGGCTGTCTGGAAACATCACTCATGTCCACTACTGCAACATCTGTAATAAGAGGGAGAGGGAAAAAATAGCTAAAATCAAAATCATTTTCAAACTGATTTTTACTTTTGCTGAAAAGTTAAAAAAAATGTAATTAAATGTGGACAGACAAAATCCAAACATTTGATACAGCATTTTGTCTGCTTACAAGTAAGCTTTTGCATCAGCTTGAGAAGAGATACACATATATGCAGTAAATTAAGTAGTAAATGGCTACAATGTTATCATCAGTTACTACTAATGCCAGAAAGGAGAATGCTGAACCTGAGGGAAAGCAAGTCCGATGTGCCTACTCCTGTGCCTTTTTATCATGAGATAGCAAGGGCCCAATCTGGCAAACCACATCACGGCAGGCAGCCTCCAGGTCAGTAACTGATTCATACTAACGCACAAGTGACCAAAACCATGTATCAAGATACCATATCCCTCAAGCACCTCATGAGAACAAACCCTTTTCCCATGCCTTAATTGTGGACATCCTTCAAAAATCAGGAGGAGGAAGAGGGCTGTAGGGAGAATAATTGTCTGTCCTCACTATTCAAATCAGACTAGTTCCCTCCACCCCATATTGGTATACTTTCCAACCAATTCAATTGGTCCTCTCAAAGGGTGTGTCTAGACTACATCCCTCTTTCGACAGAGGGATGTAAATGAAGCACTTCGAAAGTGCAAATGATTTAAATATCCCACGCTTCATTTGCATAATCACGTAATGGTGCTCTTTCAAAAAAGCGCACTTTCGAAATCAAAACCATGGTCTAGACGCGGCTCTCTCGAAAACGGCGCTTTATCGAAAGACCCTGTAAACCTCATTTTTTGAATTGTTCAGCAAATTGTGGAAACTTTGGCTACGTCTAGACTACATCCCTCTGTTAGCACAAGGGATGTAAATGAAGCACTTTGAAACCTCATTTTTTGATCTAGTATTGCTGCGGTGGAAGAAGGGGAAAGGATTATCTTACAACTGTCCTGAGATCCACAGGGAAACCTCACAGCTCTAGTGACATCTATGCAAATGATGATACAGGAGTAGAGATTAAATGCATCTGCTGTTCTTATCTAATTCATAGCCTTCATGGCAGAACAGCTTGTACACCAACTGTGCTGCCATGACTTTCATCTCCAAACTTAGGCTCAACCTCCTCTATCATAGGTGTGCGCTGAGAGACCTTGACCAGGGAGTTCCCATTGTCACACACCATGGTATGGGCAGTACAACGCAGTGGTCAGAGCAGAATTAAAGGGCAGAACCGGATTATTTAAATCAAGGTTTCCTGCATACTCATTCAAATCATGATTAAAATCAATCCATTCTGCTAAAGGATCAAAAGGCTACATATATAAATATATGTAAATATAAAGTAGATGTCTCATGGGTGTTTTTATGGTACTCTCACCATTGTATCCAGTACTTCATAAATATTTTATCTTCACAACACATCTTTGAATCGTGTTAATAATGTTCCCATTTTACAAATGGGAAATGAAGTCACAGAGAATTTAAGGTAAAGAACATCTACTGCTTTGTGGTCCCCATCTTGAGATGACTAGGAACTGATTTTTTTCAGAGTACTTAGCATTATATTGCACTTTATGGCCACATCTAGACTAGCATGATTTTCCACAAATGCTTTTAATGGAAAACTTTTCCATGAAAAGTACTTGCAGAAAAGTGCGTCTAGATTGGCACGGACGCTTTTCCGCAAAAGCACTTTTTGCGGAAAAGCGTCCGTGCCAATCTCGGGGCTTTTTTGCACAAAACAAATCTGAGCTGTCTACACTGGCCCTTTTGCGCAAAAGCTTTGCGCAAAAGGACTTTTGCCCAAACGGGAGCAGCATTGTATTTCCGCAAGAAGCACTGATTTCAGACAGTAGGAAGTCAGTGTTCTTGCAGAAATTCAAGCGGCCAGTGTAGACAACTGGCAAGCTTTTGCAGAAAAACTTGCCAGTCTAGACACAGCCTATATGTTCAAAGCACAACTCCACCAACTTTCAGGACTCAAAAGGAATGATCAGTACGTCTGCATATCTGGTCCTAGGGATCTCGCCCTGGACACCCAGAAAATGAGGAAACATGAAATAAGTGGCCATCTGTGAAAAGTTTAGTTTAAGTGACTTGTCTGGCATCCCATAGGAACTCTATGGCACAAGAATCCAACTCTCTGGGGTAACATTTAACTGCCTGAACCATGAGACCTATCTTGCTCTTTCTGTAGTCCCATGCCTCTTTCACTACACACCTTACTACTTCTGCAATAAATGAGATGGGTCCTATGAACAACAGTGACCTTTACCACACATTCTTGATTCAATCTCAGAACATCCTATACTATTGTATTTGTACTCAACAGATGAGCATTTAGTGCTTTGGTTTGCCATTTAGGAAAATGTGTTCTCTCTCTCCTTCCAATTTGATTGATATTGTCAGTACAGTGGAGACAGTGCTCTTGGCTCCAAGGATAAAAGAGAATATCGCCTGTCATTTACCAATGACAGCCTCTTTCAGGCTGATCAAGGAGCACAAGGGATAGGCTCTGAATCTAAAGGAATATATGTCCAAGTCTCCATTACCCACTGCTATCAGTGACTCTGAAGGAGAAAAGTCTGAAGAGGTGGAAACTGGGGGGAAATTAAGGGCTCACTGTGGGTTTCAGGGAAGCTTGTGGGAAACATGTTAAGCTAGATTTAAAAAAAAATCTTTTAAAAAAATATTCTAAGTTATTATATTACTTACTTTCCAAACTTTATGCTTCATAAGAATTTCAAGTAGTGTAGTGAAAAAGTCTTCTACATAGTTAAATTTCTTAAGCATAATGTTTGACATCTGTAGTATGCAAGGTCTTGGAAAAATTTTTGAAGGAGAAAGTAGTTAGGGACATTGAGGTTAATGGCAATTGAGACAAATTACAACATGGTTTTACAAAAGGTAGATCGTGCCAAACCAACCTGATCTCCTTCTTTGAGAAAATAACAGATTTTTTAGATAAAGGAAATGCAGTGGATCTAATCTACCTCGATTTCAGTAAGGCATTTGATACAGTACCACATGGGGAATTATTGGTTAAATTGGAAAAGATGGGGATCAATATGAAAGTTGAGAGCTGGATAAGGAACTGGTTAAAGGGGAGACTACAGCGAGTCATACTGAAAGGTGAACTGTCAGGCTGGAGAGAGGTTACTAGTGGAGTACCTCAGGGATCAGTTCTGGGACCATTATTATTTAATCTTTTTATTACTGACCTCAGCACTAAAAGCGAGAGTGTGCTAATAAAGTTTGTGGATGACACAAAGTTGGGAGGGAGGATCAATAAGAAACTTACTCCATGTGCAAGATATTCACTGATTGTCAACTGCAGGATTACCTGCAGCTTCCCCAGAAGCATCAGGTACTGGTCACTGTCAGGGATGAAATACTGTATAAAAGGGCCCTGATCTCATCTGTGTGGCAATTCTTATAGGCCATCAAACCTTCAACTGGCCAAGATATATTGCATTTTCCTCTAAATGGCTGTAATTTTACCTCTCATGTTACTTGAATCTGATGCTTAAACTGTTCAGTTAACCTTCAGTACAACCTTGTTATTGTTGCCTCACTGACTGACAATTTGCCATCTTTATCCATATAATCAGATAAAACAGTAACAGCAGTGGAGGCATCTGCATGCAGCCCCAGCCTGAAAAGGTGACAGAATATTTGTACTCACTGTCCCCTTGGAGCAAAATGCAGGACAATGTAGCACTTTAAAGACTAACAAGATGGTTTATTAGATGATGAGCTTTCGTGGGCCAGACCCACTTCCTCAGATCAAATAGTGGAAGAAAGTAGTCACAACCATATATACCAAAGGATACAATTTAAAAAAATGAACAAATATGAAAAGGACAAATCACATTGCAGAACAGAAGGGGGATGCGGGGGGGTGGGAAGGGGGAGGAAGGAAGGTAAGTGTCTGTGAATTGCTGATATTAAAGGTAGGGAGAGTGGGATGTTTGTGAGTTAATGGTATTACAGGTGATAATTGGGGAAACTGTCTTGGTAATGGGTGAGAAAGTTCAAAGACTTGTTAAGTCCTTGTTGGTAAGTGTCGAATTTTAACATGAATGACAGTTCAGAGGATTCCCTTTCAAGTGCAGATGTAAAAGGTCTTTGTAGCAGAATGCAGGTGGCTAAGTCATTTAGAGAGTGTCCTTTCTGGTTAAAGTGGCAAGAAACTGTTTTCTCTTTGTGATCTTGTCTGATATCTGTTTTGTGGGCATTAATCCTTTGGCGAAGTGTCTGAGATGTTTGTCCAATGTACATAGCAGACGGACACTTTCGGCACATGATAGCGTAGATTATATTTCTGGATGCGCAGGAATATGTGTTCTTGATCTTATAACTCACTTGGTTAGGTCCAATAATGGTATCAGCAGAATGAATATGTGGACAAAGCTGGCAACGGGGTTTGTTGCAAGGGAAGGTACCAGGGTTGGTATTAGTGTGGTATGTCCTGTGGTGGTTGGTAAGAATCATCTTGAGGTTAGGTGGTTGTCTATAGGAGACTATGGGTCTGTCTCCCAGAGCCTCTTTGAGTATGGTATCCTGTTCCAATATAGGCTGTAGTTTATTGATAATGTGTTGGACAGGTTTAAGTTGGGGGTTGTAGGTGATGACAAGTGGTGTTCTATTGTTGGTTTTCTTGGGTCTGTCTTGAAGTAGATGGTTTCTAGGTATTCGTCTGGCTCTTTCAATTTGCTTTTTTGTTTCTCTGGGTGGGTAGTTGAGATTTATAAATGCTTGGTAGAGATCCTGAAGCTTCTGGTCTCTGTCAGTGGGGTTAGAGCAGATGCGGTTGTATCGAAGGGCTTGGCTATAGACGATGGATCGTGTGGTGTGTTCTGGATGGGAGCTGGATGCATGTAGGTAACTGTATGAGTCGGTGGGTTTTCTGTAGAGAGTGGTGTCTAATTTTCCATTGTTGATTTGTACTGTGGTGTCCAGGAAGTGGATCTCTCGTGTAGAA